GACTTTAAGTTAGCTTCCAAAGAGCTACACATTTATCGGCTGCCCCTCCCCCGCACAACCTTTACTCGTGTCACCATCTGTACTGCAGGATTTATTGGCATAAATAAACTGTGGCGGCTTCAGGGCCTCACCTAATGTGTGCGGGGGAAACAAGATTCAATGGTGGTGGGGGGGGGGGAAATCGGAAAACAACTCAGTTTTGATTTTGTTAACAAACTCCAGGCTGTAATTAGGCAGTGCAACATTGTTTCAGAATGTCCATATTTCTTAAATGGAGCCAATTTCCCCATGTAACTTGTCACTTTCACAGTGAAAGCTGAGGCCTCTCTCTGAGCTGCTGCAGTGCATGTGCTCATGTTCCTGACCAGTGGCGTCGCCTGGCCTGGGCATTCGTGGCTTTAGCCCCAAATGTTTTTTCTGTAGCCCCGGACAATTCTCCCTCAATAATATAATCAGGGGTGCACATAACTGGTACGCAGGTACGCATGCGCGGCAATAATCTGAATTGCATAACGTCACTTGTGTCACTACGCACCTTTGCGTACCTCAAAACATCAAAACAAAACGTCTACACGTGTTTCTTGTCAACACTCAATGGAGTAAACTACTAGACATGTAAAAAAAAACAAAGACATTAAGCAGCTACGTTGCCGTTTCGCTCCCTGCTAAAAATCTTCTGACTTTCTATGACTGATTGTACTGGGTGCTGGCCGAGTCGCGCAGGACATAACCGACGGACCTGTGAAGCTTTACAGGAGGCAGAGGCTTAGATCACTGGACGACAGAGTTGTTCACCGTGTGCACAGGCAGGGTTAACGTCGGTATGAACAACAGAATTATGCCAAAACTCTGCCAACTCGCTGCAGACTCCCCTGTGCACATTCAGTGCCCCGCGCACACACTGGAGAACTGCGCAAAATCAGCTGACCACAACGTTCCTTACTGTGAGACTTTTAATCGATCTGTGGTCAAGCTGCTCCAGTTTTATTTACAACAAAGTGGAGTAAAACACACAGTTGCAAACGTACTCAGGGTGTTAATGGAAGAGTTTGAAATCAGACAGAGGTGGAAAAAGTACTCAGATCTTGTGTAGGAATACTCTGTTACAGTAAAAGTCCTGCATTCAAAATGTTACTCAAGTAAAAGTAGAAAAGTATTATCATCAAAATATAGTGAAAGTAGCGACAGTAAAAGTAGTGATTGTGCAGATTGGTCCATTTCAGAATAATATATATGATATGTTTTATAATGATTGATCATGAAAGTGTTCTCAAAGCTGGTAAAGGTGCAGCTAGTTTGAATGACTTTGTATACTGCAGGGTAGCTTGTGAATTTACTCCAGGTGGAACTAAAGTCTGATTTAACACTTGATTATATTTCACATCATTCATCCACATCTGTAAAGTAACTAAAGGTATTAAATACATGTAGTGGTGTAGAAGTACACCATTTACCTCTAAACTGTAGTGGAGTAGAAGAACAAAGTCAAGTAAAGTACAAATATCTCAAAATTGTACTTAAGTACAGTACTTGAATAAGTGTACTTTGTTACTTCCCACCTCTGAAATCAGATATGACTTCAAGTCATGTGATCATTTCTTAGTATTTGATCCTTCAACTTGGCCTCAGGAAATGCAAGGACTTCACAGTTTTGGCAACAAGTTTTGGAGAAAGCAAATTGGAGGCTTACAAAGAGACAGGGAGGTGCATCTTCATCATCTTCATCATCTAGCAAGAAGTGTAAATAGAGGACAGTGAAGGAGACACTGAGGAGGGTGAGTACCAAACGCTGTCTCCTGGTACTCATCTGAGTAACTCACTAAAAAAGTGATGTGCACCCTGAGTATAATAACCGTGCTTTACCTGAACCTCATCATGACACTAGAGGACGGCAGGATTGTAATTCCCGTGTTCAGTGAATGCAATTATTATGTAAAAGATTATTTCCAAGGCACACCTTCATATGATCATTATAGTTATAAAAAAAATAAGAGAATAAATGAAAAACAGTTATGAAATACTATATGACAGTAAAACAAGAATACAGTTTAAAAGGGGAGTGATTTGTAAAATATCCATAAAGAAAAAGAAAATAATGTTTACAGTTCTGTTTCATATATTTCCTAAAGGATGTGAGGTCCACCCCCCACATATAGAAATAGCCCTTTACCCCTGCTTACACCTATATGCTGTGAGCTGATTATCGAGCCTTCATTGTAACAGTCGCGGGTACACTGTGTGTGTGCGTGTGGGGAGTGTTGCAGTAGAACATTCCACTGTAGCGCCCGGTACCTTAATGGGAAACCATAAATGTTTGACCACCCTCTATGAAACGTCAAGCTACCCTGCAGCACCCCCAAAAGAACATATCTGGCGCCGCCACTGTGGGCTACGCCCCTAATGTTTCCAGGTCCAGGAAACGCCCCTGTTCCTGACACCTGATTGGAGCCTTCTAGCAATGAGGTGTTTTTAACTCAGGAAGAACACTGCTCTCTTCAGTGTTGTACAAACAGACACAACAACTATCCTCTGAAGGAGTAGTCTACTATCGCTGGTGACAAACATGAAAAGCAAACACTGAGGAACAATTCAGGAAAATGACACTCTGCAGGAAGAATATTTAAGATTGTGACTGCCAGTGAGAATGTCTTTGGCTGCCCAAACATCTCCCACACACACACACACACTGTTTTTACATTATTGCCTTTATTGGAACCCACACACTGTGTTCATATGTCATGCTCCTCAACCAAGGTGCTTTATAACAATTTCAAACAACTCAACAACAAATGAACCCATTTATTTTATCTATTTAAAAAATATAAATGTATGTCCCTAATTTCATTCTAATACTGCTGCCCTTCAGTTTCTTTCCCTCTGTCCTTACTTTGTGGCTTTGCTGAACAGGATATCAGCGGTAAAAGCCGATCATTACGTAATGCAACTTGTATCCACATTTAGCAACACATTAATTGCAGTAGCTAATATTGGAGTGAAACATAACAATATTAAAGGTCCCATGTCATGCTTTTCCGCTTATTACCCGTCCCCTTGTGTGTTATGAAGGTTTGTATGCATGTAAACGGTGTGCAGAGTCAAAACTCTCAAAGTACACCCTGTAGCGAGTAAAACTCTAACACAGACAATACCTCCCCAAAACGCCTCGTTGGAGATACGTCACTGTCCATTTGATTCTTCCAAATTGACCAATCCACGGACTTCCTCACACACACACTCAGTGCAGGCAGCTCTGCTGATTTCTCCTCCCTGGCTGCAGGCTGATAACAGACAGTTGGGATCGCGGCGAAATTCTCTCTGCAGACCCATTCTCTCAGAGTTTATCAACCTTTTTCTTACTCAATATCAAGCCACACTTATTGTTTTTACTTCGGCTGTGACTTTGTGTGTGCTCAGGATGAGTTTGGCTGTGTTTCGCTATGTATGCTAAACAAGGAAACAACACCTCCACGGAGCTCAGCGCGATTCACAACGTCCCGACCAATCAGAGCACACTGTGCTCACAGGGAGGGTGGGGGCTGGAGCTATTGGAGCTCCAACGAGCCGTTAAAGGCAGAGAGTGAAACTCAGTGAATACACGTAGTTTACAGAGATGCTGTATGAGAAACCAATGTGAGTTTGGAAAATTGCACAATATAAATCTATTCTAGTAGACCTCAACAATGGAATTATGATCAGTGGAAATGGCCATGACATGGGCCCTTTAAATGGGATCATTTTAGCTTTTAAGTGGTAAACAAGTGCCAAATTCTATGTTTATCAAAAACATCACACTCAGACCCCCAGAGGGAGGTAACTAAGTTCACAGTCAGAGCAAATGACACCATCTGGCTGGTGGGTGTGTATCATTCATTAAGGCTGACCCTTGAATGTGATTACAATTCACACTTTGAAAAATGTTTTGTGGGAAAATCAAAGTAAAAACTGGGTAACCGATAAATAGACAGTTGGAGATGTGGATGCTGAGGTGCAGGAGAGCCACTGGGCTGTGGGAACCAAACTCTGCTGGCTGGAGAGGAGGAGAGGAGGAGAGGAGGAGAGGAGGAGAGGAGGAGAGGAGGAGAGGAGGAGAGGAACAGCTGGGCTGTGAGCATTCATGTTGGAGGCTGAACATCTGATCCTACAGAGAGGCAGCGCATGACTCACACCGCTGAAAGCTCAGTGGGAGGCGTGCAGCCGATACAATTAGAACACAGAACACACACACACATGCACACACACACAGACACACAAAGCTTCTTGGCTCTCCTTCAGGCCGGGACAGAACAGACTAAAGCAGCGGGGCCTCCAGACAAATCATGCTGGATTGGAGTTGGTTCCTGTCAGGCCACAGGTTGAGCAGTTTCAACCCCTCCAATCCACCAAGTTGAAAAGGAAACACAGCCTTAGTCAATAGATTAGAGCCAGGCATTATCCATCATAAATCCTCTGGTGGATATGTTAACACAAAAGCTACACATTCATAACCCGCTGGAGGTAAATGGCTGATATATATATATATATGGACGTAGGCGAATACTCATGTGAAGCAAGCAGTGGAGGTGTGTGTGATGTCAACATCAGGCCGTGTGTGTAGGAGGGGGAGTTCAGTCACCTCAACACCGAGGTAATGCTGTTGCAGTGAAATTCCTGAATTAACCTTTCACAGTTTGAATAGAAAATGATGAACATGTATGAAAAAAACACATTGCAGAGTAACCCAGCTGAGCCAAGGATTTATAAATAGATAACGTAAAAATGCACCAAAACACAGATTTTCCAAGCATCAGAAAAAATAAGATTTCCTTTCCCACCTACTACAAAGTTCTAGTGGAAAACTCATTTCCCATTAATCCTGTTCCTGTTTCTGCAAACAGAAATATCTGGATTTTGCTCTTAATCTTATTTTTCAACCTGTATGAACCAAACCTATTTTTTACTTAAAAGACAACTTTAAGACTGAGGAATAAATATACATTTGAAAAGAAAACCTTGCGTCTTACCACTTGGGGAGTGATGCTTCCAGATGACGTTGGCCTCGGGCCGGCCCACCCCCAGACACATCAGACTGACCGGGCTGCCTTCGTTCACCGTGACGTCCTTCGATATGTTGGTGATCTTGGCGGGTACTGAGGGGAGAGAGAGAATCATGATTGATGTTTTTTGCTTAATTAATGACACGTGAGCAAAGGGCTTGCTATTCAGCGTGATCAGAACAGTGATGAGGTTAAAAATAACCCCAGGTTGGGGACTCTATTAGCATGAAATTAGCTGACAAACTTGACAGTCCTCGGCTCGCTGTGGTGTTATACATGATTGATTTTCTTCATCCTGTATCCTGCCACACTGCCCATTAGACAAGCATCACACTGATTTAGAGTAAGATATCATTTCATCTCCCTGACTGGAACAGCTCTCTGTGTGTGTGTGTGTGTGTGTGTGTGTGTGTGTGTGTGTGTGTGTGTGTGTGTGTGTGTGTGTGTGTGTGTGTGTGTGTGTGTGTGTGTGTGTGTGTGTGTGTGTGTGTGTGTGTGGTGCTGTTGTAAATGTAATTGCCTGAAATCAAGGGTCAATGTTTTCCTTCTTTACTGTAATTTAATGGCGTCTTGAATTTTAAGATCTTTAGTGAAACGTACAAGACAGCAGTTCATTGAAGATAATTCCACATTAACTTATTCCTTGTTGCTCCAGACACTTTAGCTATGTATTTAAATAAAATCTAAATTATTTAGATTTTTACAGTAGACACAACCAGCAATCGTATTGTCATTACATTTATATTTATTTAGGGCAACTATACAATACTGGATATTTACTTTGAATTGTTTTGTTTTTTTAAATCATATTTTGATGCAGAATGAGGTCTTCACTCTGTATGCACAAGGCCAGCTTGGTGCACAGACACCAATATTGCTAGGGTAGTAAATTAGAAGTACATTAAGTGTTACTTTCCCTTTTTATGAATACATAATTATTTAAACCAATGGGACCTTTTTTATGTCAGAGCAGTTTACCCACAGGACTAAAAGGTGTCGTAGTGTTCTTCACAGCCTTGAAAATTAATGATGTTAAAGCTTGAGCTTAAATATGATTAGGAGTGCTATTATTTAATAACATAATGTAAAACATAATTTAACAACACAGACATATAATAACTAATATATTAAATATTGATATAACAAATGCTTTGATTTATATATTTTAAATATAAATAAAATGTGATGAATAAATGCATGTTGTGTCAGCGGATCAGGGCTGCATCTCATTGACCTTTGAGTTTAACCATGAATTAGCATGCAATGCTAAAGCTCAATTGGTTTATTTAGGACACTGTGTGTGCAGCTTTCTGTGCAGATTTCACCTAACTGTAATAGGTTAGTTGAAAGCAATAATATTTTTAAATAAAAAAATATTAGGGTCATATTAATATTATTGTTTTCAACTAACCTAATATGGTTATGTGAAATTTGTTGACATTTTACACTTAATTAAAGCCAACGTTTCAGTTTTTTCAGTGCCCATAGCTGCAGCATCATGACTATATGTCTCCTTTAGTTGAAATAAATGAGCTATGGAGTCCCTCTTTAGGTAATTACTTGTAGCTGATGCTCCATTTCTCCCCACACATTACACATTAAGGATGCACCGTGGATAAGATAACAGAACTGCTGAAAAAATGAAATGTATTATGAGGAGGACAATTACACGCAACAGTCAGTCCATAAAATTAAACTGTGCAGCGCTGAGTTTAGCCACAGCCATTTAGAATACATTGCCTTCATCCCAACAAATAAATCTGCTCAACAGGGTCACACACATTATTTTAGAATTAAACTCTATTCACAGCAACACTCTTTAATAACCATGGTTAACAAATGGAGAATTGATCTAAAATTAATGTTTTAACAGTGTTTTGGATGCACACATCTTTATGATATATACTATGGATGTGTACATTTACTACATTGTATTCAACATTTTTAAGTCATCTTTCGTAAAATATGTATTAATGTTTCATAGAAAGATGGACCAGACATTTGTAGCACTTGGTTAATGTAAATCTTGCACCTGTAACCACACTCAACTTGGTGATGAAGTGTACTCACACATTTGTACACTATTCATCACGACTGCAGTGAGGTGGGAAGTAAAACACTAGAAGTCAGCACAAACAAAATGATACTGTTGAAGATGCAGAAATGTAATGTGGTGTTCTTCCATTCCTTCTATTTATCATTATCTGCAGACCACTTAGTCTTAGCAAAGTATTCACAAGAAAAAGTAACACCCATTTGCAAAGTGTTGCTTTAGCCTTTGCCCTTTTCTACATGAATACTCAATAGAAAAAGTGAATTACAATGCAAGTTAACAGAAGGTTGACAGTTGGCAGAACATACATGTGGCATCCAGCTTCCTTTTCAGGACAGACTGAGGCTTCCTCTGCCTCCACTTTATCTGTGCTGTGTGGAATCATAATACAGAAACCCAGGTCATTGGTGCATTTCCCAATGATGTGGAATTTTACCAAGCACACGTGTATTTATTTGTGTCTAACATCAAAATGTGTCTTTTGTTGCGGGGCAGAATATCTCACTTGGACTAATATTAACCCTCCTGTTGTGTTAGGGTCAAATCTGACCGATTTACTACTTTCATCAATCATAAATATTGTGTTTTACATTTGATCACCTCAAGGCCTTATGATATCCTAAACAGTAAGCATTGTTGATCACCACTGTCATTGAATTTTTAGTGCTTTTTTTTGGTCAATTTTGTTAAACCTATTGAATGGGTAACCTTAGATGATGTTCATCCATCGGACACATCTACCAATTGGAGGGTTAAGTCTGATGTTAAACCTATATTCAAAGAAAAGAAAAAAACATTTGAAACCTTTTTGATAATTAGGCAATTGAAAAAAACAAACATTAATTGATTAATGGATACGAAAATAGCACACTGAGGGGCCCATCCAAAGGAAAACATATTTTCATTATCCATGTCTGTTTTTATCTCTTCCCTGATCTTCACAGATAAATAATGTTAACATTTGCTTTACTTGTTCCAGAACATCTAGACCAAACATATTTGACTGTAAAGAGTTTTACAACACAATTCATTTTGATGCTGTTCTTCAAAAGTGGTCTGGTCCATGGTTTTTGTCCCTTAAACCATAACATCATTCCTTTTCTCACCAACATCTGTTCCGAATACATTCTGTTGAACCTAGTCAGTGTATATTCAAATTAAAACCCCCAAAAGGTTTCAAAAGCCTCTAGAAGGCAACCAACTGCAACACGAGAGCTGCTGATGTGTGTGGTTATGTGATGAATGATCAGCTGGTGTAGTGTAAGGTGATAACAGCTGTTTTGTAGGCATGAGCGGGGGATTTCTACAACAATGTTGGTATTAGGTCCATATGCTGTATATCTGCCACAGTCCTCCAGATACTGTATGTTGGATTGCACCACCAGGAGATTGGAACACCTTTTGATTTCTTAATATTGGTAGGTGTACTAATACTGTAAAGTGGGACTAGTTTCCAAAATGTTCCGTAAACCAAGACCTGTAAGGATAGCTGTGAATCAATCAAACCTGATGGCAGAATGCTATGAAGAGACTTCCACAATTATCTTCCATTTACAGCAATTAGACTTGTGGCACAGAACTAATGTGGTAATGATTCTTTGAGGGCACAATGCAACGCGTGGTTCCTCTAAGAGGCTCTGAACAGGGGACGAGGAGGCCTGCTGTTTGGAGGCGAAGCAGCCCCCCCCCCCCTCAAACACACTGACCCCTGGCAAAGATGAATGAACAGGCGTCTGTGCATGGGGGGCGGGTGACTGACGGTCCTCCAGCTTAATAATGCCAGTGGCAAGGTGATTAGAAAAACAACTCTCGTGCCACCGAGGCTGCTGGGGGATGTGACTGGGGCCGGGGACACGTCACTCTTCATGTCGGCACAGCCAAGGTGCTGCAGCCAACAATTAATTAGAAAATAGAAATCAAGGCGCTTCCCAAAGAGAAAAAGGATGCTTTCTCTGGGTGAGTATTTTATCTACAGTCTGCTGTCATTGTGCCGGTAAACACAGAAAGAAGTGAAACATTGACTTTAATTAATTGTTTTGCCAAAGAAAATTCACATAACTGTATTGGGTTAGTTGAAAGCCATTATATTAAGTTGAACCTAATATTTTTTTATTTAAACATAATATTATTGCTTTCAACTAACCTAATACAGTTATCATAAATCTGTTGACATAATACATTTAATTGGACGTCAACGTTTCAGTTATTTCAGTGTGCTTCATTCACACAGAGGGCAGAAGTTCGACATGTCTGTTAGAATATGAATCATACCTTAATGGCAATCCTCCAGTCAGACAATACAATGGTGACGTATGTGGGAGATTCTTTTAGCTTCAACTTTTGAGAATAAAGAAAAAGTGTTAAGAAAGTCAGAGCAATTCAAAACAAGAAGTTTTGACAGGAGGCTGGGTAGCATCATCCTGCCTGTGACAAAAGGGGAAGGCTGGTGATAATTCTGGTATTCAAATAATTTACTTAGGTAAGGTAAAAACATAGCATAGAATTATCAAACTTAGGAAGTAAAAGGGTACAAATGTATCTTTAGAAAAATGTACTTGAACACAATTTTAACTGCTAATAGCCAATATTTCCCCCTTAAGTAAGTACCTGTCATGCTTCAACACTGAGATTGTAGCAATTTTTAAACCAGAGGCTAAAATCAAGAATGATACCATTAATGCCCCTTTTCCACCAAACCGGTTCCAGTTCAAGATCCGTTCTTGTGCTTTTCTGGTGCTTAACTGGTTCTTCTCTGTAGCCCCACTTGTGTTTCCACCGCCCAGAGCCCGACTGGTGCTGCTCACGGCAGAGTTTAGTCTCCCGTTAACTCACGGCAGAGTTTATTCTCCCGTTAACTCACGGCAGAGTTTAGTCTCCCGTTAACTCACGGCAGAGTTTATTCTCCACTTAACTCACGGCAGAGTTTAGTCTCCCGTTAACTCACGGCAGAGTTTAGTCTACTGTTAACTCACGGCAGAGTTTAGTCTCCCGTTAACTCACGGCAGAGTTTAGTCTACTGACTCACGGCAGAGTTTAGTCT